AAAAAAAAAAAAAAAAACATATGTATAAAACCGATAGAGATTCCAAACCTCATTCCTATACACTCAGAAGAAGGCACCTATCATTCCTGCGAGTAATCCAACAAAGCAAACTTGACATGCAAACCGATTTTGCCACCATCTGTCACAAGTTTAGCGGCCGTCACAAGCCAATGCCCCGGGACATCGTATGGCCCACGCGAGACCTCGGTTGTGTCCACATACCTAAGAAGTTTAGTGGACCGAATCGGGACAGGGGGACCGTCTGGGTACACACCCGAGTTGAGTGCCCTCATTTGGGTTTGCTTCTTCATGGGATCAGCACTTTCTGTCTGAGTAAAATTGAAAGTCGTGCTGAGGTTGGTGAAAAAGCTCGACTTGTGGGATGACTCGGGCACAGAAGCCCATTCAGTCTTTCGTATGCTGCAGTTGGGTAAATGTGTGTAGAGCAGTCGGAGGTGAAGGGCTTTTCTCGGCCATTTCCCCTTAATGACAAGCTGTGCACCTGTCACGATGAATACGCCACCACCAGAGGAGACCACCCAAGTGGGGTCGTGCTTGACCACGGACGAGCATACCTTGGAATATCGCTTCCAGCGGACGGGTTCTAAGAACTGGTCCGACAGTTCGTAATCGTCCGAACCCCTCCACTGGGGTTTTCGTGCCGTGGGATTTGGAGAGGTGATGCTCGGGTGGCTTGATAGATGCTGCACATGTATTGCAAGGCGGTTGCTTTTCTTGCCTTCCAGGTAAAGGCGGAGACCCGTTACTGGCTTTTGATCGCTTGTTACCTGCAACCAATGCTGTCTTGGGTCAAGAAAAATTTGCAGTAATGGGTACAAGTTGTTTAACTAGTGAAATGAACAGTGTTAATTATTAGATGGTTTTCGAGTACAGTGAACAAAAACGGCTCGTTGGAATTATTTGCTTGTTAATTTTGCAGTTATTGGAACAAGCGATCAGTTATGAAGGATGTACTGAAGTCTAGTGGCCATTAACACCACTATATAAACCTTGGTTGCCAGGACCATCCATTCTCCCAACAAAAGGAAAGAAATTTGGTATGGATATACAAGTGAAATCATGAAAACACTCGAAAGCTTGAATGGTGGCAAATACTTAGTTAACAAACTAAAAATTCATCTTTAGATTGAAGAAAAGGATTATGCATGCAAAAGTCCCATAACCATAATTGATCTTAATGACTTCAAGTGTTACAAATACACTGCATCCTTCCATCAGCAATTATGATTTATGATGGTATGAATGTCAATTATCCATGACGAAACAAACACTATACATTGACCAGTGAATTTACTATCCCACAGGACTAGATGAGAGAAACAAAAATACATATTGCAACGGAACTGTGTGCATACCTGAGTGGAGCCGACATAAACTTTTGGACCTAAGAAACTAAACTGCAGAGAAGGAAATGAGGCCTTTCTCCTCAGATGCCTTAGGGGCAACTCACAGAACAAAGGAGCCCACTGACTGGGAACTTGAAATTCCAAAAAATATGGCAAATCCTCTAAAGTGGGTTTATCTGGTAAAAAAAAAAAA